TCTGTTAAAGCAAACTTAACCACCACCCTTAGCAGCCTAAAATTTATTTTATAACACTTAAGGCCTGCTTAGAAATGTGTCATTGCTGTGTGTTCTCATGTTTGAATTGTGCCTTATCACCCCTCCGTCACACAGGCTGACACAGGGCTCTCTCAAGTGGCTTTCTGACACTGGAATACAAGCTTCATTCTTAACTTTGGATAAGATGAAATCCAAATCAAGTTCTCCCTTCCCTTCTTTTCGTTTCAATTTTTTCCCCTACATAGCTGCAATAGAAATAAACCAGGGTTTCTCTTATTCTTTTTTTTTTTCCTTTTTTTTATGAGAATGTTTTTATTGACCTGTTTTGTTATTCAGAACTGTCAGATCTCCTGCCAAGCTATTCCTAAACCCAGACAGCCATCATTCACATCATCTTGCTCTCTGATTTCCTTTAGGATAGACACAAGAATAAAGAGCAAGCAGTTCCTTCCCTGCCAGCCTGCATTCTGCTAACACCAGTGCTGCCAGCAGCCCTGCCATGGGGCTGACCACAACCCTGGGCACAGACAGGATGGTTCTCAGCTGGGCACTTCACCATTGAGACCCCACACAGAAGAGCAGCTTTGAAAAGCAAGAGAGTGCTACCCAAGAACAGAGTCCCCTGCACTGCTCACACCCAGCTCTCAGGTGCAAAGCTGGCACTGTCCCTACACCTTCAGACTAGATTAGGAGAAGCAGAGAATTAGGAGAGTCAGAGTGGCATATTTCAGAAACCTCTGTGCTTTTGTGGGCTGTTTAGATACCAGATTTGCTCTCACAACTTTTCATCTAGCCAGAGTTCAAGCCCCTGCTCCTCTTTTTTTTCTTGGAACAGAAAATAAGCCTGCAAAAAAAATCAGCACAGTACTCAAAGAGAATGAATAATTTCCAATGCCAACCAAGGTGGTTGGGTGAGCCAGCAGAGAGGAAAAGGGAAAGAGAGGTGAGACGATAACTCAAAGACCTACTTTTTTTTTTTTAAGTATCTATAGAAATCCTGAAGACATCTGATAGCAATAAAGAGAGGCAGAGACTGAAAATAAGGGTCAGAAGATACCAGGCTCATGGCTGTTTTGGTTAGAATAAACGCTGAAGTAGAAATATGAATTTCAAGGGCCAAAATTTTTCTGAAGCTATCTCAAGGACAACTGTTTATAGGGATGAAAACGTTGTCATCCCAGTCCTGGATACAATTGCTTCTATGGTCTTTACTGCACTTCAGTTTTGGCTGGTTTTGAATGGCAGAGGTCTCAAACCCATTCCATATCTGCATTCAAACCCAGATGTTGACGTTTTTACACAAAACTAACAACAATAAACCCACTTCAGTGTATGATAAAGTATGCAAATAGAGGAATTACGAAAGGGAAGAGGATTGAAAGGAAGCAAAATATTTAGCAGACTGATTTTTATAGCATTCATAGTAAGAAAGCTATATACTCTTAAAATGGAAAAGGAAAAACAGATTAGCTACTTTTTAATATTAATGCTGGTAATTCTTCAACAGTTGCACAAATCCTTCAAAAATTATCATTTCCTTTGCAGTTAAGCTTCTGCAGTGCAGTTGGAAAGGCTGCTGAGTCTCATGTGGCTGCTCATTTAAGCTGTTCCCATTTCCACTCTTAAGAGAGACTAGAATGTCCTAATTCAGTTTAATAAAAAACACATTGGACCTGGGGGAGGGGAGAATAATGATGGTATTGGGAGAGGAACTGAGCAATTTCTCTATTTCAATGCAATTTTATAAAAAGCAACCAAAAAAACCAAACCAAACAAAAATACCCCAACAACAACAAAAAATGCCAAACAAACAAACAAAACAAAAAAAAAACAAGCAAAAAAACACGCAAAAAAACCAAACAAAAAAGAAAAACAACAAAACACCACCAAAATAAACAAAACCAACCAAACAAGCAACAAAAAAACTCAAATCAAAAAACCTAAACACCAAACCCAACAAACTCAACAGGAAAAACAACTCATCTCAGGAAAGTCAGTAAAAGGGGAAAAAAAGGAGGAAGACAATTTTCCTTTTCTTTTGATCTATGTAAAAAATGCATTCTGAGGCACTGGTAATTTAATGAAAACTTTTTTTCCCCAACTAACAGAATTCTGGTTATTCAAGAAGAGGAGGCTGATTTCTAAATAAAGCCATTAACTGAATTTAGTTTAAGGAAGATACAATTTCATGTGTCCCAAAGACACAAAGAAGGTTGCTTCAACAAATCTGATTTTCTTTGCTGTCAGTGAATTGGTGTTACAATTTCAAGGTACTCTGAAGGGTTTGGAGAACTGCAACTGAAGCAGGTATCATATTACTTCATAAAAATAGCAAACATAAAATTATGTGATCTCCCTGCAATACTGATTAGAAATGAAAATAAAAGACAAGCCTTGACTAAGGCCAAAAAGGCACTTGAATTGCATATTCCATGACAAAGTGAATAAAAAGCATACCAAAGGCAGCACTAACTAAAGGGGCTGATCATCTGTGATAAACACAGTACTTTTGGGTTTTTTTAATATTTGCTGATGCATTACTGCATATTTGATCAAGTAAAACTGGATTTGAAATCTCTTCAGCCAATCTGGGTTTACTGACTTCTTAGATGAGACAAACTGTAGTCCCTTCCACCGAGTCCTACATCAGGAGCAATACTCTCAAATACTTGCTGCAAAATAAACATGTCCTATTACCAAAATGGTCTTCAACTTCGTATTTCAGTTTACTTTTCTTACTGACCTGAGCAACTTGCTTTGCCCAGCAACATCCTAGTTCTGCAGACATGAAAAGAGCTTAGGACAGAGAGGTCAGACCTCATTCAGTTACTGTATGTAGCTACATTACAACCTCTGGTCACTGCTGTTGATTCTGGGGAGAGAGGTAAATTTTCATGCGTTCCCACTAAAAGAGAAATCCATCAGCTCTTGCTGTGACCACAGCCATGATAAACCTGCAATTTTAGTTTAAGGTGAGCACCCCTGTAATGCACTTAAGCAGTTTCTTCCTGACCTCTGCAGTGTTTACACTCTGAGGAGCGGAGTGTAATGCGATTGCCTTTTTCTGGCAATGGAAATGCTCCGAAACAGTCAAAGAACATATGCTAGCATTTGCAAAAACAGGCAAGTAGGAAACATCCTGAGACAGATAAACAATCAAAAAAACCAAGCACAAGTAGTAGTATGTGGAAAATAGCATATGGCTAAGCTTTCAGTGGGGTGGGAACAGCTATTCTGAGCCTGGTGTCTCCCCCAAAGGAAAGAGTTTCGAGAAATGCAGCTGCAGGACTCTCTGAGAAGTCCATCCCTCTAAAATACACCATATTGGTAACCTAGCAAGGGAGCCAAGTCAAATCCAGTGATTGTAAAGAACTGACCACCATGGTTGCTAAGTTGTTGTTTTTATTAAGGCAATGTCCTTTTGCTTAAACAAGACAATATAGCCAAAGTAGTCCTTTAAAAAATAGACAAATGTGTGTGTATCTCCTGTGCCATACATACTGTGGCACACAAAATAGTGTTTCACTAGATAAACAGCCAACACACAATCAACCATGTTTCAGAAGTCCATCAATACACAGGGACTCACAAGCCTCAGTTTTGAAAAGAAGGCAAAAAGCACTGAACCTTATTGAACAAGACAGTCTTCAAAAAACTGGACACACGATGCTCTGACATTACCTGATTTTTGAGGATCTGTGAGATTCTTGTATCTTCTTGTGCTGTCTTTGCCATAACATTTCATGCTGCTTTCATTTTGCGATCTCAAAGTGACATATCTAAACAAAGCAAAAAACTGGATATTAGCTTTTCCCCACATGAGAGTATCTTCTATCACCAGCTTGTCCCAAAGCACAAGCAGATTTGTGACAATCCTATTGCAACACAACAAAAGACTAACTCCTATTCAATACACAGCCTCCAGGTTACTCTGTCCTTTAAGTCATTATGGCAGAGGGCAATTACCAGCTCTCCAACTTCTTTAAAGATCAACCAAGAACCCCTTTCCCTTACTGATCATGAGAGACTGCTTTGTTGTCAAATCTTTGGAACTGATACATCCACAGACCTTCAAATCACAGACTGCAATACAAGTGAATCTTGTCTTCTTAGCCTGGCACCTACTGCAAAATGAGGAATGGGTTATGTTGATGAAGTAAATAAAACAACATCTTGCCTCTATTGCAGAGACCATAAAGATTTCACAGCACCTCACGCTGCTTTGACAGAACCCAGAGGCAGCGTAAATGTTCTCCCTGAGAGGAGATTTGCTGGCCCAGAGCTCGCAGCCTACATGACGAGTATCACACAAAGAGCAGCTACAGCAACCAGGAAGGGAGGGATTAATGAAAGTCAAAGATGCGGGAGATACAATCAGGCTGTCACCCAGTGCAGAAGAGGTATCTAGACCAGGCACCTTAAATTATCTACATCAAAACAACACATTTGTTTTTGTCAATGCTGCTGCCTAGATCTAGGGTTTGAGGGAAGGCCTTCAACACCTGAGGATGTTCAGAAGGCTGGCTGAAATCATCACATAGAGAAAGGCCACTCTACGTGATCTCTGAGAAGCCAAATGGATTGGGGGACATCCCAAAAGACTGGAAGGCAGCTAATGCCACACCATCTACAAGAAGAGCTTCAAGAGGGAGAAATTACAGGACCATCAGCCGTACTTCAGTGCCTGGAAAAGCCACAGAACACTCCTACAGGGTGTTATTACAAATCAAATTAAGAATGTGATTGGGAAAATCAAATGAAGAATGTGATTGGGAAAAGCCAGTAGAGATTCACCACGGCAAAGTGACACAAGGGGGGTCCCCCAACACTGACCCCTTTGTTGTTTCACACCTTCACAAGTGTTCTGGAAGACAGAATCAAGTGTACCCTGATAGTTTGCCAATGATACCAACTATGTGGGGCAGCAGACACTTCAGAAGGAAGGGCCACCCTCCAAGAAGACCTGAATAGGTTGGAAGGGTGGCCTAACAAGAATCTTATGGAGCACAAAAAAAAACATACAAGGTCTTCTGGATTGGACCAGATGGTCCCTGAGGTGCCTTCCAACCTGGTATTCTCCGTGAAACAGGCCTGGAAACTTAGGGTGCAATTCACAGCTCACTGACATCAGTGGAAAACTATTCATCTGCACTGAGCCCTGCTGGGTTTTGGAAAGTCATCCCAGGCTTAAGAAGAAACTGTAGAAATGATCACAGATAACCTCAGTGACATCAACCAACCTTTACTTCCTCTCATCTTCATGCTCCATTCCAATTTTGTTAAAATTATCCTTTTCAAATCCCTGATAATGGCAAGCTGGGGGAGAAGAACCCAAGCAATTCCCTTGTCCTGCCCAACACCAGTCTCTGCTTCTCCCTTCATCTTCCCCCAAGCCCACTGAAAACAGGAAGGTCCACAACACAAACCATTCATCACTCGCTTGCATCCTGCCCACTTACAACTTTTCTAAGCAAATCCATGAATCTGCCTCTTTACTCAAATAAGGTTTTAATAAACTCACATGTATTTAATGATTTGTCTGACTTGGTTTTCACATTGGTATTTAAACACCACTAGGTTTGCAACAGGCATATTGAATCTTACAGATGACTAACAAGTGTGTTTTGTTTGTTTGTAAGAAAAAATACTCAGACACATAAAGAATACCTGAGATTAACATCAGTGGAGCCAAGAGAAAAAACATCAGGTTTTTTGCCTCAGTTTTACACACCTGTTAAACTGTTTGGAACCTGCCACTATATTTAAATTTAATTTAAAAAAACTGCTATATCATGAGCCTTGACTAAAATCAGAATATATAGTTTTGCTTTCTTTTTCATTTATGCATCTGCTCTGAACAAATGATGCTGTTAGTAAGCCTAAAAATGCCAAAATGTTCTGCAATAAAACATTCCTGTAGTTCCTACTGAGGCCAGGCTGATGGACACTGGGAAAAACAACAATTGAAATACCCAGGAAAGCCCTTTCCTGTTTTTCATATTTGTTCTGGCTGCTTTTCCCACTACACCACTTTCATCATTAGAGCTACAATACCACGCATATGCAGGGTTACAGAAATTATCCGATATGTGCAGAGCTCTCATACATAATAACACAGTTAAAAAGTAAAACTTTGGACATTTTAGAGACAGAAGTGGTAAACTGATGGCTGATAAATAATGAAAAAGTCCCAACATAATTAATGCAGGACCAAACACTGCAGATGTACATCAAATTCACAAATGAGATTTTAATTCTTTCCATCAAATTTTAATCAGCATCTCATTTTTTGAGGTTTAGATTAGAAAGCAATCTAACTTTATATTCCTTTGCCATATTCTTCAGTTTTGCCTCCATCCCAGCCCCAGGTTTTGCATACAAACAAAGCACAGTAAGGAGAAGCTGAGAAGCGAAGCCTACAGCAACATTTACAAATTAAGAGCTAAGTCAGAGATCAGCTATCCCATACACACAATATAAATTTTCAGTCTTCTCTCTTCATTAGGATTGATGACGCTGCTGGAAAATAAGGAGCACATAATACCTTTTATGGGAATGCAAAGCACAGATGAATTAGCAGAAAGAAAATGCAGCTAAATCAATTTCTCATCTCAAGATAGTAATGGAGGCAATTTCTTGAACTTTACTATGCTTGTAACATATTGATCAGCAAAGCTTCACACTGCAAGTTAAAGTAGGTATTTTCCCAGGAATAAAATGGAGGATGGCAGCAGAACTGTAGGCATCACACCAAAGACAGGGATTTTCTCCAGTCATGTTACACTTCAGAAAATCAAAGTTTCCACATGCTTGCATGTTACTGCTACACACAAGAGGAAGATTTCCAGATGAAAGCTGAATTAGACCTGCAGGAACTTTCACTAAGCACACTCAGTGACAGGACAGGGGGAATGGTGTCTAACTGAGAGGAGCTTTAGATTAGATATAGGGAATATACTTTTTTTCTGTGAGGGTGGTGAGGCACTGGAACAAGTTGCCCCGAGTTTCTGTGGCTGCTCCATCCCTGGGAAGTGTTCAAGGCCAGGCTGGATGGAGCTCTGAGCCATCTGGTTTAGTGGGAGGTGTCCCTGCCCATGGCAGGTGAGTTGGAACTGGATGGTCTTTAAGGTCCCTTCCAACAGAAACCATTCCCTGGCACTGTGATTCTGTGATTTACTTTAATAATATTAACTTCTGCCATCAATTATTTGACATTAAGAACTCAACCAAGATGTTACAATTGGGAACTCAGACTTCTGTGGATCATCATTAGATCATCTGAAATATGATTCTGAGAATAACCCAAAGGATTAAAAAAAAAAAATTAATAGTATACAAGAGCATCTTCTTATCTAAATTGCTTGGTTATGATTAAACAGCATTTAATTATTTTTGGAGCAGGAAAGGGAAAAGTTAGCCATCTTAAGATAAGAAACCTAAGAACAACAACACAGTACATGCATTAAACTAGCAATACCAACAAAGACTGTCGTATCAACTTGCTAAATCAGCAACAATATAGTTACCAGCACCAGAATTATCATCATCAATCATATACTCTTTACTTTGGTTCACTTAACACAACTGTATCTGAGCAGAGTCTCTCCTCACACGCTAGAAGTCCCCTCTTAATTATCAGCCTCATGAATTTATTCCCTTTCTCTCATCTGTGTTCAGCCTCTTGCTTCCACCTTCCAAAAAAACCTGTAAGAATTCAAATTCTCTTCTAAGGACAGGATTCTCCATGCATGCATAATTATTTTTATGTGCTCATTTCTACATCTTTGAAATGCTTCAGGAGTATTGCATGACATTTATTTTCAGAGAAAACGGCTTCAACAAATGGAGAGTCTTACAGATGAGATGCTATTCCATGGATAGATTACAAATTCCAAAATTTATCTGTTTTTCATGTGTAGGGCCCAAGGCTTCAGATAACACATACATGACAATGTGAGATTATGTTTGAAGTGTCTTTGACTTGCCCAGTCACACAAAGCACACACGCTTTCTGTTTTGGTTTCTGTCCCTCACTAACAAATCCTGACACTTGTTTTATCCATCACTTCCCTGCCATTTCTACAGGACAAGCACCATGTCTCCTTCCAGAGCAGTTAACACCTGGTGCAGCACTCATCAGGCATGCACTGCATTGTGACTGCCCTCCTCCTCCATGCATTGCTTTCATTTATCCACAAGCAATTTCCTCCAACATTTTATCATCCAATCATTCAGTACAAGGAGTTCTGCAACACATTTCAACCAGCCCTTCTTTTACTTATTCTTAATACCTCAAGCCCACATTGTTGCAAAATTCAAGTTTCTTACTTTAAACTATGAGGTGACTAAAACCATTCGAACAAACTCATTGCCAAAAATTACATCAATAAACAACCCCATTTCCTTGAAAAAAACCTCAAACTATTCCTTCCCTTTGCAAAATTTACTGCAAAAAAGCCACTCTCCTAAAAGAAATTCCCCAACCACTTGGAAAAAACCCTCTAAGTGGGTATTCCCCATAATGTGCTTTAGCCCTAATTGTTCCAATTAGAGTTGGGAACACCTCACAGAAAGGTCTTCTGTCAACAGCCTGATGATCTAACGTTTGGGTCTCTTGTGCCACACTAAGATGCCAACCCTGCCCTAAGAAGGTGGAGCTGGAGCTCCACAGCTCAGGAAACAGCACTATGAGACCAAAAAAAAAACCCCAACTTTAAACACATAAGCAGACAAACCTAAAAGTCTAACAGATACTTCTTGGCTGCAGATCTTCCTTGCA